ACAATAAAAACAACTTACCAAGGTATGCGTGCGCGAAGAAAGATAAAAAATATCGAAAATATACGTCGAAGCGTGGTCGAAGCTAGCCCGTTTTTGATCGAAGCCAGTATACTGAGAGCTAGATGAAGTATAGTACTCAAAACCATGGTGTCAAATCCCCGCCAAAAGCCCCGGTAATTCTAAACGAAGATCTAAACGAAGCAAATGCCCCGCTCATAGGGGCATTGATATTCAGCCAATGCCCCGCTAATCCCCGCATAGCCCCGGGGTTGGGGGGGCCGGGGTTTACATTGACTGGTGCATAATGGTGAAAGTACCGCGTATAATGGTGAAAGCACCACGTAATACTATGATGCTAAAAGCACCCAACAAAATGTCGTTTGATCACTTAAGACAGCTATGACTGCATGTGCCCTCAATTTCAAAAATGCTCTGACCAATTTAAAGAACATACTCATTCCAGGCTCTTGCTCTAAAGTTGGGGCCCTATTAAGGTGAGGGCCCGGGGCAATTTGCCCCCCCCCCCTCCCTGCCCCCCTTCTCGGCAGCCCTGTATACTTCTACACTTTACACTGTTACACATAACTTTGTGGCTTTTTTGTGTTTAGTGGAAGTAAGTTTTGATACGTCAAACAAATTTGCTCGTCGGTAACCGGAACAAAACGGGAAGACATTTTTTGAATAGCTCGAGGATATTCGAAGCTGAGCAATCAATCATAGCTTATTGCTCGAAATTAAAGCACTATCCACTACCCAAGCATATGCTAAACAAATTAGATATCTCCAGTTAACCAGGCAACTATAAACATTTTTTCATATGAGTTGCTGTGCAGTTACGAACTTAAATTTCGTTGGACGTACACTGAAATGGAGGGTATTTTGGAAAATAATGCTGGGTACCCCCCTGATGATGGGCGAAGAATGCAAAAACAATAATATTTGAAACCAACTAAGGTTACCTGTGTCGCATCAACACGTTGAATTTGTTGAGACAATTTTTCTCCTAGACCACTGACCCCGCCACCAATCTAAAGAAATACAGACACATTCAATTATTGCAGAGTATAAGTACGATCCATTCATTAGTTTAGCCGGTAAACAATCCGTTGGACGTTATTATTAAGGCATTTGCTAAATATGATTCATTAGTATAGGTAATGGTATATGGTTTCGAGTGCAATTTGGAAAAGAACATGCACGAGTGAGTTTTTCAAAGAAAACTCACGATTAATTACAATTACTTATTAATAACATATTTGAAAAAATTATGCAGTCATGTCCATGTGTAGGTTACATGCGAAATAGATAATTTTAATATAAACAATTTTATTAGAAAATTTTGTCAGACGTATAATGTTTGTTTTTTTGTATTATTCGTGCACTTTTTGATGTTTGTGATGTTATATCTAGTTCCGAAATATCATATACTCGAACCGACCTGACCGCGTGCTCGGTTGGCAGAGCATTGGGCTATAGTGTTCCAAAGGTCGTAGGTTCGATTCCCACCGTGACCAGGCATATTTTTCAAGCTTGCCCGGTGTGAATGTGCACTCAGAGTGACATCACAAACATCATATTCACCTGAGTACATAACACCAACACAGAAAAAAGAATCATATTCACTTTTTGCAGTGTATTTCACTTTTTGGCACTGTATTTCGAAAGAATTGCGCTGCTCTTAGTCAATCAGAATTGAGAAATTTTATCATGTATATTATTATAGATGGTTCAGTTATTAAATATGGTTTCGAGACAATTTCGAAAACATGCACGAATGAATTTTTGTCAGCAACACTATTTTTGTGCTCCCTAGGCCAACCAACCATTTATCAAAGTTTTGAAACCAATTTTAAATTAAAATAAATCCTATTTTGTAGTTCCCAAACATGATTTAAAATTAAATAAGAATTTCATGTTACCATAGCAACTACTGTGCTTTCTAAGTAGCGTCGTTAAGAATGGGCGAGGGATTGCTGCGTGCATGCATATATTTCTTTCAGTCGTTGTATTTTTTTTTCATTCTTTGTATTTTTTGGTGAATTGTTTATGTTTTTTTTAGAAATTTTTTGAAAATTATTTTTTATGATTTTACTGAGGGTGTACATAATTTAAATTGGTAATTTTCCCTCCAAGAACGTCTTCTAAAATACTAAACTATCCAATGGAATAAAGTGTCGTTTAACAACAGGGGCCAGTTGTTCAAAGGTGGATTAGCGGTAACCCTGGGTTCAAATTTAACCTGCTGTTTTAGTTTGCATATTTCTGCACTCTGCTTATTTCAAAACTTCAGAGAAGTAAACTCCTATCGATCCAGACAAGATCTCTGAAGAAATATTTCCAAATCTATAGACAAGCTGTCAGGAAGTTTGCTTTGAATTTTACGTTAACTTAGGGTTAAGCTAACCCAGTTTTGAACTACCGGCCCCAGTGAGTAAAATAAATTACAAACCAAAAACTAGCTTATAACTTAATCACGACAAGGCAAAATCCTTACGAATCTCTACTTACACCGAGCGAGCGATGAGAAGTATTGAATAACGAAGTAGATACGTCCAATGCTACCAGCACGCCAAGTCCGAGATTACCCATCACTCGACCCAGAGTCCGTTCCAGATTCCAGTTCGTCTGAGTCCAGTTTTCTTGCAACATCGGACTGGAACCAAAGTTCTCGACCAACTTTCCTATAGGAACCTGACCAGCTTTCTCTATGTGGCTAATGTTCATACACGAACTGTAGAAGTTGAATGCTTTTGATACGGCTGAATTTGGGAACTGTAGAACGAAAAAAAATAAGTTGAACGAAAAAAATAACTTGTTTTGAACGACAACGACGACGACAACGAAAACGAAAACGAAAACGACAACAACAACAACGACAACGACAACGACAACAACGACAACAACGTTAACGACAACATTAACAACGAATAGCCCGTCGCTGGTATAAATCGTTCTTACCTCGGAATGATTTTTCTTCAAACCATTGTCCTCCAATAAGCCTCTGAGATGGTTCTGAACTTCAATGCCCACCAAATTGAAAGATTGCAGTGAGTTTTCGTCATCAGGAATGTAGTTCTGCTTAACAAAACCTCCGCAACTGTATTGATAAAAATCATCACAAGGCTTCACAGACGTGTCCATCTTTTGGAGAATATCTGAAAATATATGATTGCGAAAGAATACAATTTGGATTGATAGCAAAAACTCTGATAACCTTAGTCAATAATAATATTTTAATTTATCTTGCGCAAATTCCATAGAATATGCTAAAATGCGCATATGCTGCTGAAATGTGCATATATATATGCACATGAATGCAAATTCCATAGAATATACAAATTCCATAAAATATGCTCAAATGCGCATATGTGGAATGAAGATAGGGTCAAGAAACTTGGCCAAAGTATCTGTTTTTATTGTATGGCAAGCATTTATTTTGGTGAATGGCACAATTTGATTGGCTGCTGACGAGGCAGGATTTTCCCGTACGGAATTTTTATTGCCCTACGAAACTGCGACGAGAGCCGAGTTTCTCGAGTTTGAGAGCAAAAGATTGTCTAAATTAAAAGTCTCTCTAACTGGTATAATTAAGGAACATAACACCATCTGAAACACTGAAATACAATTAAAGCAGCCATAGATTTTGAACTGATTTCTGTTTTTGTGTTAGTCCGAAAAAGATACGAATATTAAATAAAGCGAACAAAAAGCATACTTGTCGAATGTCGGCCGGTGCTGTTTATTTATTTATATATTTTGTTTTCAGATCTGTTGTAAATACAGATTTGTTGTAAATACTTCGTCATTTTCTTCAAATATTTTCCAAAACTTTGTCAATATTCCTACCTCCTCCGCAGGCGCTTAGGGAGCATTTCGGGCAGGTTCGGAAAATGCGGGTTGCAGGCGAGAGCGCCTGCCGAGTAATGTTTTCAAGATGGCGTATGCTATAAATCGAAATTTTCATTTTGACTTTACTATTATGACTTAAGGTGGCTCGATATAGTTATCACAAAAACCCTGCTCAAGAATCGCGAACAAAACTGGGCGACCATTTTTACGCGCAGGTCGTGCAAACTGATTAACAAAATGAAAGAACTTCCAAAATGACCTGACGTGAGCAGTTGCTCGCGCCATCTCACGTCATTGCGCGTGTTGTACAGCGTTTTGTGTCGATTGCTGACGTCATTAGAATTTTCCATTTTAGAAAAACAATGCGCTATATCTCTTTATTTTGCCTGGTGACCTATGTTCAAATTTTGCATGCTGTATTGCACCGCTAAGAACTTTCATTATACAAAAAATAAAAAAATTCTGTAATGCCAAAAAAATTTTACCGAAGAATATGACATTTTCGCATTTTCTAAAAAAATGGCATTACAGAATTTTTTTATATTTTGCTAATTGTTAGCTTTTCGTCCAAGTAAAACAATGCAAGAAAAAAAACTGGGGGTCACCATGCTTTTTTTCCAACTATACGAAACGATAGGCCATTTTGGAGTGAATTTCGTACACGTATGTCGTCATAGCAACGAGCTATCTGTTACTAAAACTAATATAATTTGAAAGTAGAGTTATCAAAATATATAAAAAACACCAATATCTGCTGAATAAATCCTAAAAATGCATAGTTTGAACATGTCAAACTGTTAAACACCTGAATTTTTGAAAACTGTATCGTGCCACCTTAATATACAATATACATACCAGCACTGATCTAATAGATCATCTAAATAATATTTAGAAATAGCATCCAGTGGTCTTGGCAGACTAAAAAGTACTTATAACTAGCCGCCGCTTTTCTATGACGATGGAGACTGTCTAATATAAAGTGTTTATACAAATTATGCCAATGCAAATACAACATCAACGATATTATATCCGCTTTCTATATATTTTGCGACTAAGCCTATGATAAGCCATTTCAAATACTTTAGATAAGATTCAAATATCAGTCTGCATGAAACATTAAAAGCACAATTTGAAAGATAAATATGGTGAAATTATATTTGCATATTAAAAATATAATTTACAATGTAAATAGAAGTAATATAGCGTCTCATTGTTCGCTTGTTCTTTGGGCTTCTTTGTCTTTGGAGTATAATAACACAATGTCTGCATGTAGAATCTCCATTACCACAAAAATCTACATACCAAGTCCATTTCAGAAAATGATATATTGAGAGTATCCACATCGCTGCCGTCGAACGATGAGCACAACATATCAATTGTCAACATATGGCGTTATTCAAGCGTGTCCTGTTCATAGCGATCGATATTATATCATTGTGTTACGACTGCTTGTTATGAATTGCATTATAAAACGCGTCAATGATCTACATGATATTTAATCAGGTAAAATACATACATATTTCCATTTCACAGAATGACATATTATTAAGAACGTCAACATCGTCGAAATCCTCGATTTTCCCCTCTGTTCGTCGCTGCTTTCGGCCATGACTGCCCTGAAGTATCACAAATACTCTACCATACACGGGACAATAGTTTTGGGATAGGATGGTTCATATTTCACGAAGATTTTTAAGGATTGAAAACCGATACCCGGGAAACATCACTTCTGCCCAGGAACCGACTATTATTCAGCAGGCCTTTCGTCGCCTTCCGTTCTTCCCTGATCTCAAATTTCACGCCCGCAAATTATTCCCGCCCGCATCGAAAGGCCTGCGGAGGAGGTAGTCAATATTCTATAAAAGGTGCTGTAGAAGTTTCACTAACCAAAAGATAAATTTCAATTTACAATATAATTGACATTTTGCAAATGTTTCGGACTTTGTCCTTTTATCTCGTATGACTAAGTTTTTCATTTTTTACAAACGTATACATTGTCATACAGTATATTTGACTGTATATTTGTATAATAAAAAGACATAGATATCAAAAAGATATCATAGATATCAAAAAGGCATTTGACTCTATAAACCATCGCATTTTGTTAAATAAAATGAATGAGCAATTTGGAATTTTTGGCGTAGAATTAAAATGGTTTGAGTCATATTTAACAAATAGAGAACAGCAATGTAATGTTAATGGAGAATTATCTAGTAATAAAATTATCACCTGTGGAGTGCCCCAGGGATCTATACTGGGACCATTGCTGTTCCTATTATATATTAATGATTTGCCCGATTGTTTGAAATCAACTAATCCATGCATGTACGCGGATGATACTCAAATCTTTTCATCTTCCTACGATGCAAACGAACTTGTTGTAAATTTAAATTCAGATCTTGCCCATGTCTGTAACTGGCTTAAAGAAAATAGGCTGCAGATCCATCCATCAAAATGTAAAATGATGTTTATTGGCTCCCCGTATAATCTTAATAATATAATGTGTGAGGAACCCGTTGTGGCTAATGCAAAACCCATATCACGAATTGCTACACAAATGTGCCTAGGAGTAAAACTAGATGAAACCCTTAATTGGGATAGTCACATTGAAATGATATGCAAGAAGGCGAGCGCTGCTATTGGCGCTATGAAACGTATAAAGCCCTTTGTTCCAATGCATGCCTTAGAATCGATTTATAAAAGTCTTGTGCAGCCCTACTTTGATTATTGTTCCCCCCTTTGGGACACTTGTGGTAAGTTGCTAAGAGACAAGTTGCAAAGATTTCAGTCTCGTGCAGCAAGAGTCCTAACGGGTGCTAATTATGATACTCGCTCAGCTGATCTTCTCAACATACTTTCTTGGGATACACTTGAAAATAGGCGGTCTGGTGCCAAGTCAGTATTAATGTATAAAATACTTAACGACCACACTGCGCCAGGTCTCCGGGGGTCATTCGTGAGAAGAGAAATAGATCAAACTAATTATCATCTTCGAAATACAGCAACTGATCTAACAATTCCTAAACCGAAACGAGAATTTCTTAAAAAAAGTTTTAAATATAGCGGCGCTATGCTCTGGAATCAACTCCCAAACGAAGCAAAATTGGCCGAGTCGCCTCATTCGTTTAAATCAATTGTTGGACAGCGACATGCTTCCTAATTATTTGTATATAGTAACGTGTACAGTATGTGCATGTGTACTAATATTTAGTTTAAATTTTCCTTTTAATGATTTTTAAGATCTAAACACGCCCCCCATGGAAACCAGCCTAGAGTTGATGGGGCTAGCGTGTTCTTCTTTCTGTTAATTTTAAATAAAGTATTACCTACCTACCTACCTACCTATACTGATCTCGACCGTTCGGGCAGTACGGGAAAATATAAATCTTACTGTATTACAACAAGACCTCGGTTTGATATTTTCCTGTACTGCCCTCGCTTTCAGTAAGTTATTAATCTTTCGTACCTATTTGATTAAGCAAACTTCACAGGTAAAAAAAAATATACACTGTGTGGCATGGAGACTCCAACTCTCCCGATTTCATCGGGAGGCTCCCGATTTCTATAACTCTTACCTTCCAGTCTCCAGATTAAGCCCCTCGATGTTTAAAAAGCTGGCTTATCATTAAGAAAATCATTTTCAAATGAAAACGTTTTCGTAAAAAAAATGGTTGTGCGTCACCTTTACCGGCAGTAAGTCACTTTAATGCAGTTATAGGTACTTTCAAAACAAAGACTGTTTAATTAAAATTGGTAACAAAATCCCAACAACATTTTAATAGTACTGGCTCAATTCGTTGGTTACAGAACCAATTTCTTAATTTAAACCAAAACAGTTGATGAGCAATGCAATGTAGAAGTACTTTGGGACACCGTATATCATGTAAGCGTAAGTAACAAAGAATGGGATAACCAACAACTGTCATACTAATATTTTTTATTATATAATTATATGATTCACGTAGGCATTGGTAAACTATTATAATAATACCTGTAACAAAGACGTTTAATTGACACTGTAGTTTGTATACATTGAAAAAGAACGATTAAGTTTTGCACTATTATTAATATTAGGCCATATAAAATAAATTCCTTGATTCTCATCGCTAAATTTTAAAAACTCCCAGGAGGCGGGAGGTGTATATTTTATATTTTATGTCAAAATATAAAAAAAAAAGTTTAAAATTTAAAAAATTGGAGAGGGAGGTCTTTTTATATTTGCCCTTAAATATATTATAGAAAAACGCTATATAAGTGGATAATTGCACATGCGCTAATGAACATGCACAAGGGTCCACACAAATTGTTGTAATAAGGCTAAAAGCCCATTTTTTCCTTCAGTATTCCA